GGCTCCTGGAACTGTAAGCATTCTTGTCAGCCAGGGTTCCTTTAAGGGTTCCATAAAGGCTATACGGTTTCTACGCTATAAACCCTCAATCCCTGCTTTACGGGTTATCCGAAAGTTGCCGTGAGGCTCGCTTCGCGACTCATCCGGCCAGCGAGCTCCGTGAAGTTCGCCTTTGCCTCTACCCTTCCGGGCAGGGCGCCTACACAGATGGAGATGAGGGTTGCCCGAGGTTTCAGAGGGCACCTTGATTATGGATATAGAGCCATGATGGACTTTTTCGTAGGTTGCGGGGTAGCAGACAAGGGTTCCTTCCAGGGTTCAAGCGGCTCCTTCGTTTATGGGTTTATCATGTAGGGCCCAGGGCCTAGTATTAATATGGAAGTAGCCCGAAATCTTAAACTAGGGCTACAAGTAGCTCGGGGTAGCGGTAACTAGTATGGGGTCCTTTGACATTGGGAAAGGGGTGCGTCAGAACACAAGGAGCCAGTATGAACCCTAAATCGCAGGATCGGTATGATACTCCCTACTTGAGGTTCTCCTTCATCTCAGAGAAACCGCATGTCGCCTGAGGGGCCTTGTGTTGGGGATGAGGGCGTCCTGCTTACTGCTAGAACAACACTGAAAGAGCTTGAGTCTAGGCTTTAGGATTTTAGGGTTTAGGGGTTGAGATTTTCGGGTCGGGGGCATGACAGCTCTTTTGGTTCGCTGCTTCGGGCTAACGGTTCAGGAGAATGAAACATGGTCCCCTGACAGTCCCCGTGTGTAGCTCTCACGACCCAAGTAGCTAACTACAGGTGTGTGATCCGAATCCTTTTCAGCATGCGGTTTGGGCTTAATGTTCGGGGTGTGGGACTTTTGGATTCCATAAAGATGTCTTGCAGACTTGATTTTCAGGTCAAAGTCTGAACTCAAGGAATTGAGCCGTAAGCGCCCGCAGCCCCAAACCTAAAACCCTTGACGACTCCAAAGTCTAGGACCCTAAACGCTCAAACCCTTATCTTACTACCCCTCGCATAGCGGCTTTGTTAGCCCTTGCAGGGTTTTTGTCGATCTTCGATCACCGAGGACGGCAGAGACCACAGAACTGAAGATCAAAGACCTCCTCCAGCGTTTTGCATCGTGAGTCCTGAGTTGAGTAGCGCACGTCTCGGCCCAAAGATCTGCTTAGCGCTTTTCCTCGTTCCCAGAGAGCCCAATACCCCTTAGTTAAGGAATATGGCTTAAATCATAATATGAATCCCTATATAGTTTAAGCCATATTCCTTAATTAAGGGGTATTGGGCTTTCTGGGTTATTCCGCAGGAGTCAGGAGTCGTTCTCTTCTTGATCATAAGGGGCTTTCCAAAAATAGGGGGCCCAAATATAATACTTAAAATAGAAGGATCCTTATTATAAGGGCCCCAAATTAAGGTACCCACAATTTTCGGAAACTCCCATAAGGTAAACGGTAAACAGGTTCTGACAAAGATGATCTCGGGTTCGCTGAACCCTAAACTGAGCGGCTTGTCATCCTTGGCCAAACTCCACCAGAACAAGTGTTGTTGCTGAGTCCCAGTACCCACAATTTCACCATATCTAAACACTGAACCCCGCGCTCTAAAGTATTTCATACATGGGCTTCAAAGCATAAGCCTGCCGCTGGTCAACCAATTACCCTGCAATGCGGGCCTCGTCCTTGCCAAGTAGGAGGGAAACAAAGAAAGGTAAACCGTAAAGTTGTTATGGTCTCTACCCATAGGCCCCAAAGTAGTTCCTTTTTGGGGTTCGTATATAGAATCCTATATTGTAATCCCAAAAAGGAACTACTCTGGGGCCTCTGGGCACACCCTCGGGTTAGGAAGACGAGCTTTTGTAGCATCTTTGGCACCAGGCCTCGACTTGCATCCTCGAGCCCCGAGCGTAAGTTCTAGGCCCTGTTCCCTTGAAGGATGTCATAAAACCTCTTGTAGAGATCCTTACAAGGCTCTGTAGGGTCTAAGTGAGGAGTAGAGGACTTCGCATAGAGGCCCCTCGCAGAGTTGCATGGAGCTTACGATGTCAATGCTCTTGCTAAGCCCTTACCCCTGTCTTAGGCTAATGGGTCTCTCCTGCCCCTTACTGCAGACTTGACTTCAGGGGTTCGATGGAGCAACATTAGGGCCGAAATGCACGCTACATGGGCGTATGGACCCGCCGGGTAAACCCGGAGCCACGTCAATCCATTACAAGTACGTCCTAAGCCCACACCCTACCTTCCCATGAACCTCAATGCCTCTATGCCCTCGGCCGCGAACCCCCCCACCCCCACCTTCAAGAAGTGTTTACCTCAAGCGACAGCATGGGATTAGGGACGAGTATGAAGGACCCCACCATGCTGAAGCCTTAAAACACCTGCATTGAAACGTTTTACAACCACTCTTGGGCCGAAACTTCTTTCAGAATCTACGCTGCTGGAGCAGACTGTGTGTTTGCTCTAGCCGCCCTCCACATCCCAAGTTGATTGCTGGTCGTTGGATGGTCGGGTCGGATTTCGGAAGTCTTTGACACGTTTGATCGAAACATGCTACAAGTGCAGCGCCGAAGCTGGAGCCGAAAACTCCTCCCAAGGATGCTTTGGCTTAGAGTTGACGGCTGTTCTTTGCATCTTGTGTATGATGCCCTGAAGCCACCGAACTACTTCAGACCTGAGGGTTATTTCTCTTGCTCCGGGCAGAGGACGTTTGCATGTATAATGCAGATTGAATTCTACTCTAAACCCTCAACCCTAAACCGATGCAACACCATAAGCTACTGCTACTACTACTACTACTACTACTACTACTACTACTACTACTACTACTACTAAACCCTCGTTTCTGGCTGTCTTAGGCGCACGATGCCGCAAGCCCTAGCGATGGCATCTGAAGCCGGGTTCAAGCTTGGGGGTTAGGGATTCCGAAGTTCAGGATTCTGGGGTTTAAGGCGGCTTCAGTGGATGAGACTATGGGGGGTGTGGGGCCCAAAGTTTCAGACCTGTGAGCTTAAACCCTAGACATCCCTGGATCAACCCCAAGTTCTTTCTGCAGCAGTATACATCAGTTGCCTTGTTGACGTTTAGGGTTTAGGGTTTAGGGTTTAGGGTTGCTGCTGTGAGAGCTTTGTCAGGGTTCACTAAAGAACGTAGCCAAACCCGAAAAGGAACTTGGGACAGGAGACGCCACTTAGAACCGCAGTGAATGGGTGCGTCCTCGGTGGCATCTGAAGCTTCCGCTGCTCAAGACCCCTGTGCTCGGGGTGCCGGATGTATCTGTCAGACATCAAGTAGGCATCGAATAGACATGCACACTCTCTGCCTCTCTCCTGTTATTTCTTTCTATCTTTCTTTCGTTATTTCGGTCGTTCTTTGTTTCTCTCTCGTATATATATATATATATATATATATATATGTGTATGTATGTATATTACATATATATATATATATGTATATATATATATATATATATATATATATATATAATATACGCACATGCAGAAGCACGGGGTACATATGTATACCTAGATGTAAATATCTAGCACGGGTATTCAATCAGATATTCGTTTGTGGTAATCATACAGCGAGAAAGACAGAGAGAGAGAGAGAGAGAGAGAGAGATATATATCTGTTTGTACGCGAAGTACTTTCGGTTGGTATAGGCCATAGGTTGGTATGGCCCAGACGTTGCGAAGAGGCTTCTGCCAAACGCCCCTCAGCTTCAAATCTTCAGGGTTCAGGAACCTTGGTTCAGAAAGAGCCCTAGACTTCAAAAACAACCTAAACCCTAAACCCTGAAATCAAAAAGCTGCTCTTCAAAAGAGTTCTAGCCACTAGATCTCGATAGCGATCTTCGGAGCATGCGAACCCCTCCACCCCCAACACAAAAAAACAAGAAACAACGGATGCTGAAAGTGCCACTGTGACCAGTGTACAGCGACACCGGCGGTTCTGCCAAAAGTTTCGTTGCATACGCCATTTAAGCTGGATAGTAACATTCTTGGAACGTAATTTGGTTTCAGTCGAGAGTCCTAAGATATCTTGAGATCAAGTCCGATAGCTTGAGCCCTTTTCTCGGAGGCTTTCCTACAGGTCGTACATTACAGACTACATCAGGGTTGGAAACAGAGTCTAAGTGACCCCCAATACACCATCTGCTCGATCTCTTTGTCAGGCAGCTGCAGCTAGTAGTTTATGCCCACTCTGTGTGAAGCAAAACTCACATGTTTATGTCGCACGTGCCACGCCCGACAAGAAGAATCTGCAGAATTCCTCCTTGACAACCCCAGGGCGGCTGAACCCTACACCCCGCCACCCCGCAGCAACTAGACCCGGATGCTCACAGTGGTTTATGGGTTTTCCGTTTCGGGGCTTTGGGGTTCAGTTTCGGGTTTTGCAACCTGCAGCACGAGCCGTGAGCTACCCAAAACACAGAGCTACACTCAGCAACCCTAAAACCCTCTAGAGCCAACCTCAAACCCTAAACCCAGATTCCTCAGGCAGTGAACCGTGAATCCTTGAGTCAGCTAAGAATTTTTCAGGGCTTCTGATAGCAAGGGCAGAACATTTGAGTTGGATCTTCAGAAACCTTGGCTAAAGTGCGTGTTGTGGGGGACCAGCTCTATAATAGTTATACAAAGATGCCCATATATGTATGTGCACGTATGCACGTAGACATATATACATGGTTGATATTATTTTCGTTCTTTACTTGCTTGCTTGTGCTTGCTACATGTCGTACTGGTTCCCTCTGTCGCAAAACACGGCACGCGATCGTCGTTCCGGTATCCAGTATAGGAAGCTATTGGAAGTCGGAGACATGCGCCTGCTGCGGGAAGGTTTGATAAACATGATTTGCCATACAATTTGGGAGTTGTTCAGCCTTCACTCCCGGCGCATGTCCTTTTCCCCCACTGCCTCCTGTCCGCAGCCGTATTGCGGCACCAAGCATCTAGAACAAGACGCTTGCAAAACACACCCACGTAGCTCTGCTCATTTCAGTTTCGGTTTCATGATGGTGAAGATGGCCAGGCGCAAGATGGGAGGGACCTAAATAGCAAGATGGTTTCGGATGGCAGGGGTTGTTGCGCTCGTGTTCATAGTTCATCAAGGACAAGAGCTGCAGCAACATCTGCTGAATCAATGGAATCGTAGTTTACAACATTTTACAACTCCATTCGGTTCCTCCATTTTAGATCACCAGAACTTGCGGCAATGATTACTCGTGACAGTACACACTCCAGCAAAACGGAGTGTCTGGGAGTGGTTCCAGACACTCCCTTTTTACAGGACCTCTGAGGAATCTACACTTCCTCCCATCGTTCCCTACGCGTGAAAGGGGCTTCTGGGGATAATAAGGGCCGTAATGCCTAGACCCCGAACCCGTCAACTCTCCTAATGCCGTCGCAAGAGCCACAAGCATCCCCAACACTTTAAGGCGGCTTTCGCTCCGAGGTTATCGGTTATCGAAAGAGAGCCAGCTCCGTGTACCCTCAGACAGGAGAGTTGTGGTCCCCCTACATGCAGGGGTTCAGGGTCTAAAAGGAGGGTAGAAGGAGCCCCAAACTCCCAAACCCGAACCCCAAACCGTCCCCCAAACCGTGAAAACCTGCTGATCCTCAAGTCTCCGAGCCTGCAGCTCCCCAAATCCTCAACGCCTGGAGTCCCAAAAGCAACGCCCCAAGCTCTGAGATGGGGTTTAGGGTTGAGGGGTGCCTTGAAAGGGATCTCTGGGGTATTATAGGGTTTCTGGGTTTAGGGTTTAGGGCTCTCGCCCGAAGTTCTAGACCTCAAGCCCAAACACACACATGAGAACACAACTTAAGCAACAAGACAACAACAGAGAACCCTGATTTTGCAACCCTATCAAAACTACCACCACCCATGTCGATGTAGAAGCCGGAACAAGTAGCAAGCATAAGTATAGCAGTTATATTATGACCCCCCCGGAACCAAGGAAACCCAAAAGGAGAGCCAAGCCCCAAACCCTAACCCACACAACCCTAAGCCCTATGATACCCTATAGATCCCTATAATGCACTGGAGTAACCCTCAAGATCCCTTTAAAGGAGCCCCTCAACCCTAAACCCTATAGATCCCTATAATACCCTATAGTACCCCTAGAGATCCCTTTAAAGGAGCCCCTCAAGCCTAAGCCCCCGAAACCGAGCAGGCTCGTGCTCCTGGTGGTCACTTTGACAGACGGCAGACGAACCGAGGCGTTCAGGTGGAGCGGCAGCTCCGGAGAATAATATCCCTAAGCCCTAAACCCTAAACCAGGGCCAGCAACAAAAAAAAAAAACTAAACCTAAACCTAAATCTTACTTATAGTATAATGGGCAGTTTCGGAGCATAGCAGGGCCTGAGGTTGGAGGGTCTAGGGAGTTTAAGATAGGGGCCTGATTAGTTGCCTAGAATATTGCGGGGGGGGGGGGGGGGGGTCCTTCTTAGAAGTGTAGCATACTGGGCTCCAAAACCCTAGTCTAGGACCCAGAGTAGGCCCTTATTCCCTTTTTCAGGGTTTAAGTTCCCTTATGACCCCCTTTAAACCAAAAAGGGCACCCTTTTTATTCCTAGGTTACTCTTAGATCTAGTAGTCTAATTATGAAGGCCCCTACAGTAGCAGGGCCTGTGGGTTTGAGGGTCTAGGGAGTCTAGGGTTTAGGGAGTCTGGGATGGGTTTAGGGTTTAGGGTTTAGGGGTTAGGGTTTAGGGTTTAGGGGTTAGGGTTTAGGGTTTAGGGAGTCTGGGATTAGAGGGTTCGGGGTGTTGAGGTTTATTGGGTTTGGCGATAGGCCTCAGGGCTGGGTGAAAGGGGCCTAGTCCAAAGTATGAGTCATTCGGCTTGATAGCCTCGAGGGTCCAAAGACGCTTGCACAGTCAGTGTTGATCAGAGGAGCCTCACTGCGCTGGCCAACTAGAAATCTATCCCTACATCCCCAAGCCCCGCAAGCCGTAGATCCTGTCAATCCCTTAACCAGTAAACCTCACCTCAATTCCTTAAATCCCTTGAACCCCGACTGCTAGACCAAAGGCCCGAAATCCGTAGTTCTTAAATTTCCTGACCCCCTTAACACCTAAGCCTTAAGCCCGTCACAGCCTAATTCCTAACCATGTAGTACTCTCAAAAACACCGTTGTGAAGGAAGTTGCATCCCCTAACGCCTACATCCTTTAGCTTTTCACCGGACTTGTTTCAGCTTCTCCATCACCGTCCCAAGGGTTGCTTCCAGAAGCGTCACTTGTCTTTTAATATCTTGGAAGAACCGGGCTCCCTACCACGGTCCCGACCATTAATTCCACCACTCCTTTAGCCCCATCACCCCGCCACCCCTACAACCCTGGCGCCCGTACCACCGACCACCCCAATCGCTCCTATCATACTTTTGAAAGCCAGGCCCGGGGAGAGTTCTGCGCTTATGGCGCGTCGAAACCTCGACCCTTAGCAGCGCGAGCTATTCTTCCTTGAGGGAGGGTAGAAAGTAGAACTTTGAGCCGTCATGGAGGTTTACATAATTGGCTCTTGTCGGCCTTACATTGCTGATAAAGCCTGTTCAAAGTGTTTACAAGACATGATCAGCCAATTTTGTGCCGTTCAGGGTCGGCGGGATGTTTGGACATGACTGCGTTTTCTGCAACGCTAGCTGCAGCTGAGCAAGCTGTGGGTAGTAAAGAGGGACAGCATTCCAGACAAGTGGCTCGCATACCTATATGTAAGCCCATGGTGAATGCAGTTGCTTTGGTTCTACATGAATTTGTATGTCCAAGCAGAGTATAGGCCCGAAAAACCGACAGTTCACATAGTTCAAACCACAAATCCTGAACCATAACTCCCAAACTCCTCAATGCCATTCAATGCCCTAAATCGCAAGTCCTAACTTCAAGGCCCTGGGTCTGGGTCTCATCCCGAAGGACTGAACCCCCAAATCCACAACACAGAATCCACAAACTTACCGTTGGTTAGTAGGGAATGGAGGAATGGTGTATAATTATAGCTACTTTTACTACCATTCTTCCATTCCCTACTAACCAACGGTAAGCAAAAGCAAGATCAATGAAAAGGGTTCTGGCAAAAGCAAGCTTTACCCAAAGACCCAGAAGATTTTTGCAAAGCCGGGAAGCCCACAACCAAACCCCAAGTTGAAAACCGCTCTCTACGTCCTTCACCTGGCTTTAACCGTAAATCGCCTAAATCCTAAGTTCTCATCCCCCAACCTACAAGTCCTAAACCAACAACCTTAAACTCTAAACTCTGTATGCCCAAAACCCAGGAACCCGAACCAACATCCCGTACCAAGACCGTCGTGGAATCCTCGTTGAGCTCCGTGAGGTCTTCAAATCATAAGGCCCGGAGACCACCAAACCCCGACAGTCCGAAATCGCTGATCCCTAGAAGGACCAGAAGGACCAGAAATCCCGAATAACCTCAATACACGTATCCCGAAGGACCCTCCAACCCCAGAATCCTGAAACCCCGTGTTTGAAACCCTCAAAAGGACTCTTATAACTATAGAACTCCACACGACCCTGAACCCTAAAGCCCACAAGAACACCCCAGAACCCTTACGACGAACGTCTCTATGGACCGGCCGCCGGGACATCACTCAGCCAGCTGGAGGCACCGCAGTGGTTTCTGGCCGGTTGACGAGTGATCTTATGAGAGGTTCTGTAAGCTATTATGAAGCCCGTGATATACGGGCATACCAATGCTAGTCTGGGGTTCATTGTTGTAATAGTTGTAGCATAATATACCGCGACAGCCTTGTTAGAAATATTCAGGCCTCTGTGATATGAGCATCCCATGGCTCTTAACCCTAAAGCGTCTAACGAGGCTTCTTGGTGTTTGACAGGGCCCCGCAAGGTTCCAGAATAGTTTCTGATCAGGTGCTTGGGTGCACGGATGTAATAAATGCAGGTCCCTAAGGGGAACAGATCATCAATAGCGATTTGTGGCGTCTTTGAGGCCAGCTTGCAGGAATTGACGGCGAGGCTTTGGAATCTCTGGGTTCAAACTTTCGTTTTCAGGGTGTTTAGGGGCTTTAAGAACTCATGTTTGAGCAATTCAGATGCTGCTGGCTCCGAACTGATAATTTAAGAATTGTGCCGTTTCAAAGTTCCAACCGTGTGGGGTACTGACGACACTACTGATGATGGACAAAAGCCTGCATGACCCTAAGGACACTAGACTATGGGAACTATGGTATATTCCTCATCATGGGTAATGCAGGAGTTTGTCCATCAACCGTATTCTGCAAAGTCTTGGCCATCAGAGCGGACAGGAACCACTGTTCTCAATGTCCAGTTTCGGGCCTTGGAGGGTTGGGGTGATCTGTAATGCAGGAGTTCAAGAACCTGGGATCAGGTGTTTGGGGTATATTAATTATAATCTACCATAGTAGACCTCAAATGAGGAACTCGAGGGAGTTCTAATTACTATTTGCACCATGATAAGGAACCTGAGGGAATATTGCCTTGCCACAAGTACTACTTTTTCTATTCTTCCACACCACACTGAAATTGGTTGGATACGCAGCTCCGGGATGCTGCAGGCTGCTACACAAGCCCTCACTTGCAGTTGGTTTCATCGTTTAGCTGTATCTGTTAGTGCAAGGCATTAGTTGACCTAGAAGCACCCAAGAAGTCGGAACGAATCCTTCGTTTGCTGCACATAGCGCCCCGCCTGGAAAAAGCCTAAGGCTTACATCTCCTGAATGAAATGCAAACGAGAAGCCCAACAGTGCTTCATGACATGGTCCTTGCAGTTACAGTTAGAGAAGGGTATCTTCTGTAGGGGTTTCTAACAAGGATCCTACGATTCGGGGTGCATCCTGACAGGCCCTTCAGAGTTTAACGGAGCAAGACATCCGCGATGTGGAGATGTGGCTGATGGGAAAGGACTCGTGCTTGGAATGGAAAAGCAAAGGCAGTTCAACCCTTAGTCGATCGTGCAGAAAGATGGAGGTTTCCGAAAATAGGGGACCCTAATATAGTACCCTAAAGAGTAGGATTATTATGATTCGGACCCCAACATAAGGTACCCCTAATTTTGGAAACTCCCAGATCTCCTCCGTTGGAAATGCAGTCGACGAATCACGGATCCTACTCGTTTGATAGCTTGTGTTGCATCGTCTGCCACTCGCCGTGCTCGCCCTTTCCTGTCTTTGTGTTCACAGCGCTCTTAGTGTTGTCATTCGCATTCTTTTGGATTGATTGGTTGTTTGCGGCTCGTGTCGCTACTTTTCTTGTGATTTGTTTTAGTGTGCCTGTGTGTGTTTGTATAGTTGCCATCCCCATTTCCATTGATGTTATCGGCCTGCTTTAGGCGGAAGTTTGATTTGTAGCAGATCTCAATCCACTTACCTACACCGGTATGTAATGTAGACCTGTTTTAACATACTAACTACGGAATGCTCCTTATCATCTGGTCGCCTCTTTGCCTCAGGGGAGTTGATGCGGCTCCCTGGGCACTTCGTAGCAATATGGGAGTTTCCGAAAATTGGGGGTCCCTTGTTTTGGGGTCCTTATAATAAGGATCCTACTATTTGGGGTACCATATTGGGGTCCCCTATTTTCGGAAACTCCCATATCGCAGGTCTAGTGTCGCTTCGAGCTGCAGGTTGTAGTCTTGGCGGGTTCAAAGTTTGGGATGGAGGGTTTTAGATTCCACTTAGGCCTTGTAGGCTGTAGACTAGACACTCAGCATTGGAGGCTTTACGGTCTGGGGTGCAGTTTTACTTGGAGGTCGGAGTTAGGATCTCGAACGGTGTAAAGTTTAAGTTCTACAGTGACGCTCAGCCATGCCCCTGTAAACCTAAGTCAAGAAAAAGCCACAAGATTTGTCGGCTAGGACCAAATCAGGTGGGGCCCCACAGAGACGGTCACGTTGCCACTTATGGTGGTTGTCAAAATTAGGGTCCTTAATGTAATACGGCACCTAATATTTAGGGCACCCGAAAAGGGACTCTAGTTTTGATTGCTACCCACTTATTGTGGACAACCTGAGACGGAGGCTGCCTGCATTCTGCAATTTTGCCAGGGCTCTCGAACCATTTGAGGCCGAACTTCTGGCTTACGTACTTCAGAAGTGGAGGATTCAAGAAGGGCCATACCACCGTCATTGTGATGCAGGCATCAGGCCGGCTGAAATGATTTTAGCATAGCCATGGCTTTGAAAGAGGGGTAGTCTCACGCGGATGCCTTCTCAAAGAGATGTGCCCTGTCGCTGCCGTCTCATGGTCGTACATGCCACAATGATGCAGCAATGGCTGTGGGAGGCTTCTCCCCGGCGCTTCTCGCATCCACGGCTGAGCCGGTTGTGTCAGTGAAGTACTACAGGTCCGATTTGGAGTCATTAGGCTCCCTTGTTGAAGGCTGGATATCATGCAGGCCCGGCCAAAGCAATTTTAGTAACAGTAATATTCGTGTTCATATTCAATATTGTTGCAATTATAGTATAATACTTTTGATTTCCGTGACACCACCATGTTGGCCGCCCAAGAGCTTCGTATGATGGTTCTTCCACTCGCGCAAAAGCCGTAATCTCCACGACCTTCTTTACTGGAGGCTGCAGCACGTTGGCGGGGTTGAGTTCTGTAAGTCCCACGAAATAGTTAGTAGGTTATGACCCCTTATTAACCCTAGCGAACAACCCTCGAAAGAATACAGGGGTCGATTGGAGCCCCGGGTATCTTTAATATTCTGGTTGTTAAGGCACCTACATGAAACCCTAAACCTGAGCCCTAAAACCCTTAAACCCCTAAACCCTAAGCCTCTAAACCCCCTAAACCTCAACCCCTAAACTCCCAAACCTTATAAAATAATATAAGCCCTAAACCCCCAAATCTCACCTGTAAACCCTAAATCCAAACTCCAGGAGAACCCCTATAGTCTACCTTCTAGATCCCCTATAGTAACCCTTGTAGGTCCCTTAAAGGAACCCTTAAATGACTACCCATAAAGGAACCCTAACACCAAATCCCAGGAGAGCTCTCATGGTAGCCTCTAACGGCTCCCTTAAAGGAGCCACTAAACCCAAACCCCTCTGGTAACCCTATTTCAGGAGAACCCCCACACCCCTAAACCCCCAAACTCCTAAACCCTGCACTTCCCTATAGCAACCCTTATAGATCCCAAAAAAAATCCTTAAACCCTATCGTAGATAACCCTTATAGATCCCCAAACGGATCCTTAAACCCCTGAGCCCCAGGAGAACCAATCCTGCTCCGATGCCTGTTGGGACATGGGCCTACTCTGCAGCACCCCGGCGACCTCTTTCTTCGAAGAGGGTTTGGGGTTTTGGGCTTTTGGGCTTTAGGGTTTAGGGTTGGGGTTTTGGGCTTTAGGGTTTAGGGTTTAGGGTTGGGGTTTTGGGCTTTAGGGTTTAAAGTTTAGGGTTGGGGGGTTTAGGGTTTAGGGTTTGTGGCTTGGGGGGTTTAGAGCTTAAGGCTCTAGGGGTTTAGGAAAACGGGTTTGGTATAAAGGGCTTGAATACCTACCAAGATTGTATTTGAGGGCTTTTTGTGCAAAGTGATCCTTCAACATACCCGGAAACCTTATTCGATTTTCTTCCCTCTGAGCCCACCGCAACCAGGATTCCTGCGCGCTTGAAAGCCTCGAAAACTCAGTTCTTCGGAACCCAAGAAGAACCGCAGACACGGGAAGCACAGTCCCGTAAATGAAACCCGGCCTTACACCCAAAACTTTTGAGACTTGAACCCACTTGGTTACGGATCGAAAGATCGTGCTCCCAAAGCTCCAAGACCCGAAGCCTCAAAGCCCTGAAACCCAAAAGTCTTAAGGCCCAAAGTCCTTGTCATGATATGCTTCAAAGAACACCTTGAAACCTCAATCCGAATACAGTAGTCCGGAAGAATGGATCAACACACAGTATGCCAGTATAGTCGCAGTATGCTGAAGTAAAGACACCCCAAAAAACCCATTGCCACAATAATTTCAGACCCCACCAAGACCCCCACCATTATATAAATAAACCTTCAAACACTCTTATGGGAAGCCCTTTAGACCGAAAGCTCGAAGGTGAGGAAGTGATCCAGGAGGTCGGCACCAGCGCCCTGGTGAAAGAGGCAGCCTCGAGGGCCAACGTCACATGCTCCTTGTCTGCCTCTAGCTTAGGAGCTGCCCCCACCCTGTAAGAGTGGTATAATAGGGATATAATAGGGCCCTAACATAATCCTATATAATCCTTACAGTCACTATTACAGGGTGGGGGCCCCTTTAGCACATAATGTAGGTAATATTGGTTTTTATACTAACAGTTACAGCTCCTAAGGAGTACTACTATGACTGTGATTACAAACAGTTGCGCGTTTTGGGGTTCACTAGGTTTGGGGATAGGGCTCCAGTGGAATCCGACGCCACGGAGCAGCCTTGAACCATAAATCCCGAGCATACTAGGGATTTACTTTATCTTTGTCATAGTTGGGGAACATTTCACATTTCTATGGGTACTTAAACCCCAAAAGGAATAGCATTTTCTATTTAATCCTATCCCACCCATGAACAAGTTATGCCAGGATCGAAACCCCAACATGGCGCCTGTCGGTCCCTGAAGATTCCTACAGTAATATCTACGAGTTTCTAGCCCTAAAGTGTTGAGCTTACATGTTTCATCAGGGGTCCTGTCGAACACGGGGTTCGGAAGAGTTAGTATGACGATTCCCCGTAAGCTCGCTAGATTCGTGAGTTTAAGAATCTACTCCAAGACCTTGATCGTTGTTACGGCCCCTAGAGTATCTTCGGAATCTGGGTCTCGGCGGGTGGCTGTGTGCTTCAGCTTCAAGCTCAGGACATTCTTGCATCATGAAGGGGTCCTTACGACAGGACCCTTGCATTTTTAAATTGCGGTTCTGTGGACCTTGAAATACCCTAAACCGCGTAATGGTATGATGGGCGAGAAAGTCGAAATCGAATTAGTTGTTAAAGGGGCGTATGGTCGTTGTACGGTTTTGAGAAACATCCGGCTTCAGTGTGCACTTGCAGGAGCACTGACACACTAAACAAGCCTGTAAGTGGAGGAACTTGCGGTCATGTTGTAGAACAATACTGAGTCACTATTGGTAGCTCCACAAGGCTCCGGCGGTTAGCACAACCGAGGTGAAGCCACGGAGGCTGCGGCGAATATGAAGGCGCGGCGCTTGCTCTTTGATGATCGTAAGATCCGAAATCCAGGATCATCCAGAACTTTTCGCTTCGCCCCCAACAACACCAGCACGACACCCGACAAACAGGTTATGCACAAACTGACGTAAAGACCTAAGCTAAAGCTCAAGAACGTCACCAGGCTAAATGGTTGACGGTTCGGGTGATGATGTCAAAGCTGGAGGTCAAACAGTAGTGCCCTTATGTCCTTTGTCTTGGTATAAATTGAACACATGCAGCTGACACAAAAGAAGAGGGTACCGACCTGCAACGGTCTGTAAAAATGCTCTCGGCGTTGGCATCACAAGGCTTTGTGACCCCAGAGACCCCAAAACTGGCACCTATAATCCCCCACCCCGGAGCATTTTTCTGGGAGTTTCCGAAAATTCGGGGTACCTTATTTTGGGGTCCTTATAATAAGGATCCTATTCTTTAAGGTACCATGCCAGGGTCCCCTGTTTTCGGAAACTCCCTTCTTGAGACCCTACAGGCGAATGAGAGCACGGCTAGAAGTGGAGTTATAAGTATGGTAACTATACTTATAGCTCATATTAGGGTACTTATAACCCTACTTACAACTACCCATGAACCTCCAAGTACAGGCGAATTAAAGAAAGCATGGTTGAGACTTCTCCCCAAAGGTAGGCGGAACGACGACGACGACCTCGCCGGATGAGACGAAGAACGCCTCTGCTCCGGATGCTCGTGGCAGCCCAAGATGAAGGGCTCTAGAGCCCCTTGGTTTGTGGATCCCAAGAGCCTATAGCTTCGAGGCCTCAGGCATGTTTGAGTTGCGAGAGCGTAATTAAAGCCTATAACCCAATTTCCAAACCTTCTGCAGGTTTCTTAGTGGTCCTTATGGCCTGGTAAGGCGCAAGAGCTATAGGGATTAGAGGGACAGGCAGGTGTTTAGGGCGTCGGGGTCTTATCTTAGTAGCTGGGTCGCTAACCTTCAACCTTTTTGGGTTTGCATCAAGGCAGAATCCCACCAGTTTCAATTGGTCAACCTTTTCTCCCGTGACCGACAGAATGAGCTTGAATCTTCAGTGTATGTTTACCCGAACGATGCTCTGGACACGAAGAACGAGCTTGGTACGAGAAGCTGTGACCGAGTCAGCTGACCCCACTTCCACCCTGGCGATGTGGAGAGGGCGTTGCATCATTTCTGTTTAAGCATGTGCGCAAGGATGCACCTGACATCTCTCTTCTGAAGCACATGACGCAAAGCCGGGGATGCGGCACCCGTGCCATCATCCCGAGACAAACGGCTGCAGAGCCGGTGGAATCTTCCAACTTCGAGCCCTTCCTGACAGCCTTATCATGACCTCTCCACGCAATATCAATATCTACGCCAGCAAACATCTGCAAAGCCCGAAACACGGAATCTGAGCCGTTTCAAACACAAAGCCACAAAGCCCGTAAAACCATGCAAAACCCTAATCGCCTCAACCCTAGAACCTTGCCTCAGAAGCCGGCGAGAAGTATGAGAACCACCCGTCGGTTTGCACCTCCAAGGCCGGACACCGTGGTGTGGGTATTTACTGGGGGGGCGGGGGGCGCAAGTTGCCTCTCAAGTTCCACCTGCAAAGACAGTTAGCTTTCAACCTCCAGTCGTAGTCGGGGCTTCGCTTGTCTTACAAGTTGCAGGGTTTAGGGGTTTAGGGTGTTGAGGTATATCCCCCCCTTGGAGGAGTACAGGGTTACTTTTCGAGACAAAGTTGCCTCAAATGCAAACCCTGCAATTCTCTTCGACCTACATCTGCCATGCTTTCTGATGACACACCCTTGGATTCTTTCTAGACCCTCCCAACCCTCTAATATTCTTCAAATACCCACTATTTGGGGCCATGAGGACTCTATCAAAATGCTCTTGGGGGGTCCTGGTATCTGCCTCACGACTGCCTTTGGGCCGCTTGGGCCAGGGTTTCCTTGAAGCCGCCGTTTCCCACATACAACTTGGTGGTGCCTGTGATCCTCGCATGGTTCTCGGGTGTGTCAATTCCACACAACTTACCCGGACTTCGGGAAATCTACTAGCTTCGAGAGCGTTCGAATCCGCATGTTCGAGCCGTAAGATGTCTTAAGAACTCCATATATAGCGATGTTCCAGCACTCATTTGTTCCCGACTCGTCGTTGGTTTCATGTCGTGGGAGACAGCCGCGACCCAAGCTCCAAGCTCGCCTACCCTACTACTGGTACACCCTGCGGCCCTCAGGCTTCAACCCGTGCAGCCTTGCAGCAACCACATGTTACTTCAGCGCGCGATCCCGGAACTGTCAGGAGTGTGGTTGCGTTGGGCAGCCGGAACACTGCAAGGCTACCTGCATCTTGGCCATTAAGTTGCGGAAGATGACTTATGATGACCTATACCCCCTTGAAGAACGAAAGTACCGTAATGTACCTGCTAATTTGGGTTTAGGTTAGAAGTCATGTAGGTCAGGATCTTGCGATCTAAGCTTTAGGAGCAAGGCTCTTGGGGTTCTCGGGTTCTCGGTTGAAGGTGCACGGTTCGAGGCTTTGGATTGCGATTGTTCGAAAAGCTTTGGTCTCAAAGGATGGACCACTGGGAGTTCCCCTGAGGAGATATGCTATACGGGCTGCCGCTCAGGGTTTCTATTTGGCATCCCTTCATTTTTGGACTTCGTGAGCATTTCCTGGCTTATATTTGCTTCATTCTTAATTATAGTGAAGCAGTTCCCCGATTATTCTCAAACTCTGAAAAGCCTTTGCTGAGATGGTTGTCCAAGACCAGGTATTGCACTCCTGGGCCCAGGCTGTGCATAAGACCTCCTCAGCCTTAAAGTAAAAGCCAGAAAGTTGGAATATGATTATCCTAAACCCTTTATGGTAAATTACAAGGTATCCTACCCTGAAACCATATTCCAACTTTCTGGAGTTCCCCTTACGACAACACATGGAACCCTTGAGCCCCTTACCAAGCGCCTAAGTATTTAAAGCCCAAGACACAAGGCTACTTTGGAGATATGGGAAACAACACCTGCGATGGTCGACAGCTCAGTTGTGCGGGGTTTGGGGCTCATTTCGGGGTCCCTGCAGCTATGACGATTAGCTTTTGCTTGCACTATTATTACTGTTATTATTACTATTACTATTATTAGCAGCTTCACCTTGGTGCTTTGCCCTTGAGCTGTATCCGGTTTCGGAGCTGATCGAGGCCTTTCCCTGGATTTTGCAGCCGAGCAACACCATTTACAATGGAACATGCTCACGCAAGCCTGCAGTCTATCCTGCATATATTCTTGAAACCTCGCTTGTTGGCAGTGATCCTTATAGTCATGCGAGAGGAGGAATGCCCTTACAGCAATGCCATACATTCCTTGAAAGGAGCCCCTAAATGATAATTATGACAAGGAACCCCCAACATAGCATGGGTAAGCAATAAGGCTCCTATCATAAACCCTAAACCCTCTAGATCTCTTAAAAGGAGCCAAAACCCTAAATCCTAAATCCTAAACCCTAAACCCTAAACCCTAAACCCCGAATGGCTACGGCTCAAGATTTCGGCTCGAGGGGGAACACAGGTTTCTCGGGGTTCCTGAGCTAGCTCGTTATGTCCGGGGCTCTTGCTGCTCTGTCTGCGAGAGTAGGTCCTGGGCTTCCAGGAAGAGCCCCTCCAAGACCGCTCGCCTGCCTTCGGTAGAACTGGAGCCTTGAACGCACCCCCCGTCTTTGCAGGAGGTCAGATGGAACCTCCGGCGGAAAGAAAACCTGAACACTTCAATATCGATGACGAACCTGCATGGCTCCCCTCCCTCAAGAGTAGCATTCAGGAACTAAAGGACAAGCAGACCCAGATCCTTCAAGTTGCTGACACTAAGTTTGAAGAGATCAACATTCTTCAGCATAAAGTTGCAGATGCAGTTCCACGGATTGAGGCTGTTGAAGCTCTCACCAATGATCACTCCCGTGAAATTAGGGAACTCCGGGAAGAAGTTCGAGGACTTCGATCCAGGTCGGTGTCTCCGGCGCCGGTAGGGTATGGACCGCAAGCAGCAGCATACTCGGCACCTCCGTCACCCCGGGCTGATCCTCGCTACGATGACTTGCAGATTGCTTGTGGAGGCTGGCAGGACGCCAAGCGGCATGACATTGAGCATGAGCTGTCCCAGGCCTTTGCTACTGCTGGAGGGTCAAATTTGGTTCAGGACCTCATTATACCCTATGCCAGAAGCTCCTTTGCAAGAATTGAATTAAATTATCCTTCTGGCTGCCCTATCGCTGAAAAGAGACGCATTCAAACCAAAGTCATTCAAGCCTTGAAAGACCAGTTGCCAATCACTAACATTCAAGGGCAAGACGGAAGAAAAATTTGGTTTACTCGCAATCGTAGTCCGGAGGAACGGGCTAAACTACGAGCGATCCTGTCTACGAAGGAGGCTCTCCAAGGGCTCCGGCCCCAAGCTGACATTGAGCACGATTGGCGTGGGAAGGTTTTTGCTGATGGAATCAACGTGTTGGGGAACTCAGGCCCTCCTCCACCGGAGGATGCCTTCCTTCACACCACTACGCGCGGTGATCACAGTGGATGGTGGGTGCACGTGACTAAGGCCGCTCAGGTTCTGGGGGTCACAGGTCAGCAGATACTCGACGCCTTGTCACGAACTGCTGGAGGACCATAGGAACTTGGCAGGGAACCTCGGCGAAAAGGAGAGTCATCAACACGGCGAAAGGCCTCTCGTAGAGCCTACCATGATCTTACGGTACTGCATTGGAATCTGCATGGAAAATCCCTCACCCACATTGATAATGTCATCCATCAAAACGTGGATCCGCCAGACATCTTGTTTTTGCAAGAAGTCGGTGGCCTCAGTGGAATTAAGGAAGTGCAAGCCCTGCCCTTTGCCATAGGCAAGCAGTCCTATACAGCCTACTGCCTGGACACACCCGAAAGCTGGAGAGGTGTGTGCATTGCAGTCCGTCATGAGTTAACTGTTTCCACCACGGATACCCGGGCTCACCCCTTTGGGGTATTGGCTCGCCTTCGACTTCAAGGAGTTGACTGGTTCCTTGCGAGTTTGCATTTTCCTCACGATAACCGGGCGAATTGTCTCGATACCTGGAATTCGGGAATTCAGCTTTTGGAGGAATTCATTCTGCTTGCGAGAATTCAGGATCGCGTGGCCATCGCTGCTGACGTGAATCAGGATTTGAGCCTCGAGTATGACGTCTTCGCGCAAGTACCGAGACTACGAGCATGCATGCGTCTCTCAGGTCTTGACTTGCTTGTTCCTGATAGGGATACGTGGCACGCCAGAGGACTCAGCACCAAGATTGATTTCATGCTCTTTCGAGCACCAGGTATGGATTTTCAATTGACAGTTCGGGATGATTTGAGACTTGCTCTGCCTTCGGATCATTCGGCACTAATTCTTACGATCTTTTCCAGACTCCCTTTTTATCGTCGCCGACCCTGGGTGACTCGTCGCTGCGGGAAGTGGACGGCACCGGAAGCTGCTGTTCAGGAAGCTCTTCAGTCATTTGCCGATACTCCTTTGAACCACGAAATCATTGAATCCATTGCGATGCAAGCTAGTTTCCGCCCTCCGAACCTCCGATATCAGGACGGTCCTGAAATTCGGGAACTCATTCGGCAACGCAAACTCCTTGTAGGAGATGAAAGAGCAAATATGATGGCACAAATCAGGAAGGCGAGAGAACTGGCCCAGGTGGCCCACAAAGAATCTTTGCTTGATAGGGCCAGAAATGGGGACAAGAACGCCATTGCGCATATGCGTCGCTCGGCAGCAGGATCCCTGTCGGATGGCAGTTGCATTCAAAGAGCCGGAGGGCATGAGACAGCCCTCAGGGACCTCAAACACTTCTATGCATGCAAGTTTAATTCCAGGGACCCCAACAGCCTTCAGCCCCTCAACGAAAGCCTCGCTAGGAAACATGAAAGTGCTTCTTTTGTTCCTGTTACGAAGGACGAACTCCTTCAGTTGCTTCAAACCTGCAAGGGGTCCACGAGCACTGGGCTTGATGGTATTTCGTATGATGTTTTGGCAAATATTCTCCGCCATGACACAGAGGACCGTCTGCCGGGTTGGTTTAATAAGGTTCTTGATGGCAAAGAGAAGATTCCCAAAGAGTGGAAGGAGGGCAAAATTACTTTCCTCCCCAAAATCAGCCGACCCTTAAAGCCCTCGCAGCTCAGGCCGATCTGTCTTACTAGCACGGTTTGTAAGCTGTTTGGGAAACTGCTCAGTGTGAGGCTTCGCGAAAAGCTTCCTGAAACACCCACTGCACAGCTTGGAGCCAGGAAAGGCTGTCAAGTTCTTGATGGTATTACAACTGCTCAGATGATGTTGTCCCTTTCCAAGGCTCGTAGAGCCCCACTCCTTGCGGCGAAGTTAGACATTGCTGCTGCCTTTGACTCTGTTCATCATAGGAGTGTTGGCCATTTGCTCATGGAATCTGCTTCTTGCAAGGAAGCGCTTAGGCTTTGGGATCTTGTCAGGAACAATGTCGTCCTTCTCCAATTAAATGGCGAACATTGGTATCAGCAGCTTGGGCAAGGAGTGATGCAAGGGACTAGCTATAGTGCTGAGCTTTTCAGTAAACTTATGGCCTGGGCCTTACGTGACTTGGATGCAAGATGGGATCGAATTTGGGGCCCGTGCATTCAGGGAATTCGGACACCACACATGCTTTTGTTTGCGGATGACGTTTTGACCTTTGCACGCACTCCGGAGGAGTTGCAAGCTAAATTAAGAGACATTCAGAACAGCCTGTCCGTTCTGGGGCTCAAACAAAATTAACCCTGACAAGTGTGCCGCTCTGAGTTGTCCCGACTGTGTCAACCCAGGCGTTTGGGCTCGGGGAACTTGCAAACCTCTTCAGGTGCATGAACAGTTCATCTTTCTGGGAGCTCCCATTGGTTACTCCATGGGGCCTCTTGATACGTTAGGCTTTTCACTGCGCAAGGCCAGCAACGCCTTTTTTGGGTTTAAGAAGATCCTGTCTTCGCATGCATGTCCTCTTAAAGCCAAGTTTCTTCTTCTGGATACGTACATCACTTCACGATGGCGGTGGCTGTCTCCCGCAGCCTTTCCGACTTTGAGAACCCTCGAACAAATCGAGGCGAACAAAAACACCTTTTTGTTAAGCATGACCAGGATCGTTGGGGACCCTTTTGAGTCTTGGGTCAGGAACACGACTGCCAGGAGGCGCGCCTGTAGGCTCCTGGTTCAGGAATTGAATGGGCCTAATTGGGCTGCTGTCTGGCTTTCCCAGCTCTGGCGATACTGGGGCCATGTTTGGCGAAACCCTCTTAATTTGCCCAACTGTCGGATTCTGCGACAGGTTTGCACAATCGCTCTTAGTGCAGGATTAATACGCCCTGGTGTGGTCGTTGATTTGATTCCCCGCAAGCTTCAAAAAGCCTTTGAAGTCTTTCGAGGACCTCTTGACCCAGAGTGCTGGGAACTTGCCGCCTCCAACCGTGATGCATGGAAACAACTTGAATCCAGGTGGATTTCCAAGTGGATATCCCCGATTAATACTGCCTGCAGCTCCACCTATCTCATGAACATGCAGTTGCTTGTCCTGAATGCGAAACTATGTGTGCTACGGCCGGTTAGGGAAGAACTTTTTGAGAAACCCTATTCGAAAGCGCTCCTTCAGGTCAGGGAAGCTCAGCGAATGTCCGTGCAAAGGTCCATACTCGTCAGACTTGAGCATAACCAAGGAATATCAGTGCTCCTGCTTATGGGTTCTTTCGCACCGCATAGGGTGACTGTGGTGCAGCAGCCGCCTCAGGAACAGGACTTTTTAGGCAATGTTGCACGAGGACTCCTGGTGGTATGGCACCTTGCGAATTTGTTGGTTGACGATGACCCCCTCCATAAGCCCGTCATTTTCTTGCCTCAGAGTATGCTCCAGCACCCGTTGTTTACAGGGGTTGTGCATTCGTCTCCAGCCAGGAATTTGATGTATCGCCTTGGTCAACTTGACATCCTGGACTTTGTGCAGATTCTCCCCGCCAA